TTTTTCGCGTTTTGGTTACGCGCGACAGTTTCGTGTGTATCCATGTGATTCGGTTACGTATACCAAGGGACCCCGGGTCCGAAACGACCGCCTGGTCCGGCCCAGTCGGGGACTCGCCTGGACCGGGACCCCCCCGGTCCCAGTCCAGGACCCCCTAGAGCTCGGCCCTCGGTCTGGAAACCTCCCCGGTCCGGGCCCCCCGCGGTCTGGGACTCCCCCAGTCCGGGACCCCCCCCGGTCCGGGACCCCCCGGTCCGGGACCCCCCCGGTCCCATTGTCTCATGTCCCATGGGACCCCCCCCCGGTCCATCATTGTCCCATGGGACACCCCCCGGTCCAGGACCCCCAGTCGAGTAGGACAATTTTTGAGGTACCATAATGACTTTCCGGCTGCTCATCGGAGCGTGAGGGAAACCAGGAGTCGGTCAGTCGAGGAGTCGGGGAGTCGACCAGTGGGCAGTCGGGGAGTCGGCCAGTCGGCCAGTCGGGGAGTCAATAGTCGGGGAGTCGGGGAGTCAGCCAGAGTCGGGGAGTCGGGGAGGCCGGGGATTCACCCAGTCGGGGAGTCGGCCAGTCGGGCAGTCGGTGAGTCGGGGAGTCGGGATGTCGGAGAGTCGGGAAGTCGGCCAGCCCAATACGTCAACAAGGTTAGATTTCTAATGTGTCCATTATCTTTTGTTGACGCGTTAGCAAACATAACTTAACTTAAATAAAGATAATTTCGTTATACAGGTATTGCACAAAAAATAATTTAATTTAAACTCGTCCTAAACACGTCAAGCGTTTATGATGATACATGGGACGGGCGCTGTTCTTCGCCGCCCTTAGATGAGTTGTGCGAAATGTGAATCACGAGTTGTCGCATCATCATTATGCGCCGATTGCGCCAACGCGTTTGACGCATTGCGTTTCAGATTGGATTGACCTTGCGGCGTTTACATCGTGGCGGCTTCGCAGACGACCCGCCCGAGACTCGTTTGCGGGGCCTGCTGCGATTACGTATCCAACGTTCGATTGTTTATGGTGCAACTTACCGCTTGAGACGTTGCAGCCAACTCGACATCTCGAGGCTGAGCCCATTCGCGCGCGCATCGGTTAGGCCAACCTACGGCCACAAAAGGCTGTTTGCTTGACGCGTTCGTTCGGCTCATTCTTGCTTCGACGGTGCCCGCGGCGGGGCCCTCGAGCTAGCACTTGGGGGGTTTTGTAACGTGACGTTGCGGACGCTTGCCCCCGTCAGCGCTGTTTAGAGGCGCTGGTGTCGGGGCGGTGCAGGTGGTGAAACAAAAATCTTCTTCCTTCTCCACCTCCTCCTCCCCCTCCCTCCCCTCCTCCCCCTCCTCCTCCTCACTCTCCCTCCCCTCCTCCCCCTCCTCCTCCCCCTCCCTCCCCTCCTCCCCTCCTCCTCCCCCTCCCTCCCCTCCCCCTCCCTTCCCTTCTATCCCATGGCGGCGGCGGGCGCGCCGAGGTCCATCCACGATGCCTGCTGCCACTGCCACCTTGCTCGAGCGTGCAACCTTGCAGTCGCCAAGTTGACACCTGGCGACGACGGCGACGGCGAGACCTGACTCTGTCATGTTTTGTTTTGTTTTTGTTTTTTTTTTCAGGCGCGGGGACCACGCAGCAGCATCGCACCTCGAAGCGCAACAATAGCCCGAGCAATCGGTTGAGAAGCACTGTGGTTTGCACAGTCTTTTGGTACCTCCCACGCATTGTCTTGTGCCAGACTTTGGTGGTTGTTCCGATCAACGATTCCTCCCCGTACGCTTGAGCGAAACGGACGTTCAACACGCCGCAGTACAAGGGTACGTGCTGGTACCTGTGAACTTTCGGGGTCAATTTGAAACACAGTTTGTTCCGAAGTCGGCACTCCTCCCTGGCCTTCATGCATGCAACTCCAAACTCCCGAACCAGAGCGCCCAACTTGTTGAGTGATTCATCAGCCATGAACATTGGAGTGGAATATATAACGCCATACACCTCGTCCAAACAACGCGTGATGTCCAAAACTGCGTTGTCCAACGGAGAGCCAGACGTGAAGAACTCAACACACATGTCACGAAATATTGGTGCTGCTGCTCTTGTGTTCGCAGCTTTGATGGTAATCCCGTGGAGATCAGCCCATCCGTCGGCCATGCGCACGTTTGTGGCTTTCAACTCAGGCAACCGATGAGTCCCAGGATGGTCGGCGCACCAGTCCACCATATATTGATTGACCCGCTGTAGGCGGTCAGGCCGATTCCTCCCGAGCGCGGCCATGCCCAGCAAAAGTTCAAGCACTCCACCGAAGGCAAGCCCAGCGACACCTTTGCAGTCGGCGAGGTGCATGATTTCCATGAACAGAAACCAACGGTCGCAGCAGTAGTGCGAGGAGACCAAAGGGTGGTGTGGCTCACGGGACCTCGCCCTCCACATCTCTAGCGGCATATTCTCGGTAGCACGCCACCGTGCCACTAGGCGCAAATCAGTCCACGGCCTCTCGCTCGCATCCGCAAGGCAGTCCGAACAGCACTCCGCGGAATTGAAGTGCGGCGCCCCAAGTTCGTTACACCGATTCTCCTCGTCGCTCTTCATGATGAGCAGCACGAACTTCCACGCCACCCTTCCAGCGCGGGCTACTGGCGCTCCATCGACGTAACCAGAAGCCAGTTTGTCAAAGTCTTGCATAACCATTCCGTAAGCAGGCACGTCCGCCAAGTTGGTACCTTTCAGGTATGATGCTATGAGCCATTTGCAAACTTTTTCGTTGTCTTGCCCAAGAAGCGATGAGGTTCTTGGTGCAAGGGCCAGCGTCCACGTGTATCGAACATGGGATGGCCGAGGCCAAATCGCCCACTGACTTTCCTCGGAGGAAAGGATGGCGAGACGCCCACCGAGCGGATGCGGGACGAGCCAACAAATCAGTCCAGAACGCGCGCAGCTTTGATACGTCAGCGCCCCATCTGAGTTTGAACTCCCTCGGGTACTGCTCGCATACCAAGCGTGCCAAAGATGACGGCAAGATCACCGTTGCAATGTCGCATGGATTGTCTACCGCCGTCTGGGCGCGTCCGGGACCCAAGGATTCCACCATCGACCTGAGATCGCCCGCAGCTTTTCCGCCTTCTCGCAGTTTCGCCAGGCGCTGCACCATGGGGTGGCGGAGCCCATCAGCCAAAGCGTTGGCGGCGTGGTGCCGCACTCTCTCTGCGCTCATCACGCCATCGCACCAGTCCAACAAGAGGCCACATCCGAATCTAGATGGACCTACACTGTGTTCCTCGGAATCGCTGAGACCAGCCTCAAGCTGCTGTCAAAAGCCCCCTCGGCGCCGACGCTTCGGACGATCAGCGTCCCAGAGAGGCGCCAACATCTCGACTCGCCTGGATGCCTTGTCGCTTGAAGGAAAGTGCTGGCCTGAGCCAAAACGGCTACGGAATATGAGGCACATAGACAAATAACCTTCGGATCCAACAAGCGCATTGCTCTTCTGAAGGGGGCCTTGGCAATCCCTCCCACCTCACAAGGACGCCGAGTAGCAACCATTATGTCCTCAATACGTTGAGTCTCATCGAGGCCTGACAAATTGCCATAACAGACCTCATATGACATGTGTTCTATACCCCGTTTCTCGGTTGGGCGGTCGAATGTGCGAAGAAGCTCAGGCGGGCCCGATGCTCAAGTGAAGATAAACATTCCTCCTCCATCCTCTCTCAGTCCTCCTCCCTATCCCCTCCTTCCTCTCCCATCCTCCCTCCCTCCTCCTCCTCGTCCTCTTCACTTTCGGTGACCGCGTGCTCGTGCCCCCAACATGTTCTAACATGTTTTAGAGCATGAGCTGCCTGCTGCTATCTCGGGGTTTCGGGCTGCCTCCTCCTCCTCCTCATCCTCCTCCCCCGCTTCCTCCTCCTCCCCCTCCTCGGCGCTCAAACTCTGAAGCCAGGGCTCTTCGAAGGGCTCATGCAAGGATTGCTGGGGTCCGCGGGCATCGTCCTTCCCGCTTTCGATCACCTGTTCTTCGACATGTGCCACCCCTCTTACGAGGCGGGGGGTAGCGCAAGGATGATGGAGGAGGAGGGTGGAGGAGGAGGAGGAGGAGGAGGAGGCGGATGGGGATGACGAGGAGGAGGAGGAGGAGGAAGAGGAGGAGGAGGAGGAGGAGGAGTGGGAGGGGAGGGGAGGAGGCGCTCAAACTCTGAACCCAAAGCGGTAAGTAAATCTCCCCCCCGAGAGTCCGAGAGTCCCCAGGTCCGTTGCAGGCAGACGCCGACGAAGATGCGACCATCCACGGGGGGGGCAAACAACGACGCGATATGGCGAGGCTGCATCAGCACCCGGGCTGGCCGCCAGCTCGGCTAGACCGACACCCGCCAAGACGCACGAGCCGACCTGAAATCGTGAGTTCCGTCACACTGAGCACGCACAACGCGTTCCCTGGAGGAGGGGCGGGCGGGAGGAGGGGCGGGCGGGCAGGGAGGGGGGATGGGGGCGAGGGGAGAGGGGAGGGGGAGGGAGGGGAGTGGGCAGGGAGGGGAGGGAAGGGGGGAGGGGAGGGGGGGAGGGAGTGGACGGGGAAGGGGGAGGGGAGGGGATGTCAGGGGTGAGGGGAGGAGGGATGGAGGTGGCGTCCAGCGGTGGAAGCGGGGCCTTGATTCTGCCGGCGCATCTCCAGGCAGCAATCGGGTCCACAATGCGGCGGTTTCCCCAGCCCCGCGCGCGCCGTGCGAGCAAGAGAGTAAGACGTGAGTACACGGCGAGGCTCTCGGACTTGTGAGGTGGGGGGCGTGGCAGACAGACGCGGCGATGCCCCATTCGCGCCGGCTACGGGCCGCATTCAGTGCAGAATGCGCTCAACTTTGTGTTTTCAGATATCTTAAGATATCTTAAGATATCTTAAGTTGGTTTTTTTCACAATGAATCAAGCAATAAGCGTTTTAAGATATCTTAAGATATCTTAAGATATGTTTTTGTTGTCGTCGGCCGTCGGCCGATCTAGCGGGCGGGCGGTCCGCGCTTTCAGCCAAGCTTGAACCAGGGCTTGAGCGCAGTAGCTTTCTTGTTGCCGATCTTGATCTTGTCAACCAGCTGCTGCACGTTGTTCGCCGTGGTGGTGATGTCATCGTCTGTAAGCGCGGTGGCCGACAGGAACTTCGTCTCGACGCCCATGATGTCCTGGTCGAGCGCGTCCAGCTCCTTCAAGAGGGTCTCGAGGTCCGATTCGATCTTGCAGCCGCGGGTGTTCTCACACGACTTGGAGCGCACGCATAGAGCGTGCCACTCCCGACGGGTCCGATCCCAAAGGGTGTGGCTCTTCTTGGCGTTCGTGACGCAGACCTTATCCCGCTCTGCAGGGGGCGGGGCGCCCTGCCCGCCCGTCCCGTCGTTCGCCTGAGGCGCGGCCCCTCCTGGTGTAGCTGCCCCGCTCGAAGACGCAGCGATGGTCGCATCCTTCACCTTCGCCGAAAGGCGCTTGGTAGCCTTGCTGAACTCCTCCATCTCATCCTGGTTCCACCCCTCGTGGTCGTCGACGCGCTCGGACTTCTTGGCGGTAGTCGCGTCGCTCCACTTCTCCACCGCGCGCGCCACCTCCAGCGTGCACGGCCACTTGAGCTCCGCGTCTGGCGGCAGCTTTGAGTTTGGCCTCGACTTGAGCGCGCCGAACCTCAGCATCTCTTTCACCGCAACCTCTCCGTCTTTACTGGCTGCCCCGTGGAAGGTCATCCACGCGCCAGCTTTGATCTCCTCCTGGGTCTGGATGAGCTCCTTGCGACGCTGGACCACGCAGTCGGGCGGGACGCCTGCCTTCGTGGAGATGATGCTGCTCACCCACTCCCGCTGGTCAGCCTCGCTCATCGTGGTCTTGATCTCGTTCTCCCACATCTCTTTGATCTCGGGCACCGCCTTCGCTCGGTAGTAGAACTTGTTGTACGTGGCCTTGTCCTGGTACAGCCAACTCCCACTCTCTCCACCGACAGTGGCCTGCGGGGTGGGTGGTCGCGACTTCGCTGCTGTACGTCGGGACGGTGCGACAACTTCTTCAGTCTGTAGAACTGGCGTGGCGGGCGGCAGGTGGCCCACGGCAGGGACAGGGGAGAGCGCTGCCTCGACCTTCGGATCCTGCTGTTGTGGCGCGGCCAAGGCTCCCTGTGGAGCTGCAGCTGCGCAGGGCGACTTCTCCGACGCGACCGCCTTGGCAACTCTCGATGCCTTGGGTGGCGGGGGCGGGGCCACCGCTGAACGATCACCTCTGGTGCAACCAAGCAGAGTTTGCTGGCTGCTTGGCACGTCCGCCTCGCTCTTCACCCTCTTGCCAGGCATGGCAACACAACGGCCACGCGTGGCGAACGTCAAGCTTGACTTGAAACGCGCTGGAGCCAAACTGGCCACGGAACTCTCAACGTTCTCAAGCTTTGGGGGTCGTTGTTCGGGCCTTGGGGCAGCAAGTAGTAATCACCCTTGACGAGAGGCTGGCCCAGGGACAGGGTCGAGAGCGTCGGTGGGGGTAGGGTCAGGGGGGGGGCTCCGTCGATGACGTCGTCGCCGCCGCCCCCCCCCCCCCCCACGTCGTTGTCGACGGGGGGGGGGTGGGGGGGGGGGGCGGTCGACGATGACGCCGACGACGGGGGCGTCCAAGAAAAATACAACCAACTTACCAATTCAATGCACATGTTGACGGCACAAGACTGCCGAGCCCATCTGTTTAAAGAAGAGGGGGTATCCCTACCAGGAGAACAGGGGGAGCGCACGGGATAGCTAGTGGATGGAAGGCCCCCCCGTCTTCCCCCCTCCCGTCCCATGTCGCCGTCCTGCTGGGCGCTCTCTTCGCTTGCCAGGGTCAGGGTAAATTGGAAGCATACGTATAGGTGTTCTTCCTTTCCATCTTAGTGATTCTCGCTTTTGAAATATTGGGTTCTACAGGTTTCTGTTTTTTCAAGTTCCTGAGACATGTGCCACCCCTCGTACGCGGCGGGTGGGGGGAGCGCAAGGAGGATGGAGTCGGACGAGGAGGAGGAGGAGGAGTAGGAGGAGGAGGAGGAGGAGGAGGAGGGGGAGGAGGAGGAGGACGATAAGGCGTTCGCCCGCTGCATTTCCGAAGCGACGCACCCCCCGCCACAGCGATAACTGAAAAGAGCATCTTGCCGTCAGCAGAGCCTTCGACGGTGTCGCGAAGGCTGGCCCAGGAGCAAGCTTACTGAGACGCCACGAAGAGTGGCGCCGCTGAAACATCCCGGCGTGCGTCTAACAGAGAAAGCCGCTAGAAGCGTCCCGAAGCATCTCATGAGAATGAGAAGGAGGAGGCTGGGGGGAGGGGGGGGGGATGACAGAAGGCGGAGACGGGAGGAGGATATGCTGATGCTTGTTTCAATGGAGTTCGAAACAAACCATAAAAGAAACGAAATCGAAGCAACGAAACACGGAGGACAGGGGCGGGGGGAGGATGTCCAAGACCAGGTCTACCCGACCACGCGCTCAGTAATCCACGCCTTCGCCGCCTCCACGGTGGTGATTTTGTCGTCCTCGATCTCCTGCCGAGGTTTCTTGATGATGTTACTGTACTCTGGGGCCCGCCGAGCCGTCACGCCCACGATGTACTTCCACGTCCCGCTATTGTGCTGCAAGTAGGCCTCGCCAGGGCGCGTCTCCGTGCCCGCGCGCACAGTCATCTTCACGGGCTTCACGATCTTCGTACTCGTGGCAGTCACCCTCGGAGCCTCCATCGACCGAACGCTCTTCATTGGCCGCCCCTTCCCTTTCATCGGCTTCCCGTTTTTCTGGCCCTCCTTCGCTCTGGCCGTGACCCACTTGCACGTGGTCTTCCCTCGGATCCTGCGCGGGGGATTCTGCTTCAAGGTCTCGCGCTTCTGGCCCCCTCGCGTCGGATCTGGGATCGGCACCGCGTCCGAGCATGACGATGCTGCCGTCGCACTCTTCGCCTGGACCACCGTGCGCCGCTTCGCCTCCACGCACTCCTTGCAGTTGCACTCCACGCTCACCACCTGGAGCTCGCTGTCGGAGGAGCTCGCCACGGAGTCGGCATCCTTGTCATCGTACATCCTCCACACACCCAGCCCGCACGCCTCTGGATCTTCACTGTTCGACGTGTCGTCGGCATCTAGCTCGATTGGTGGAAACAAATGTTCGACTTCACTTGGCCCGAGGTGTGGTATCTGCTTGTCCTGGTTGCCCGTGGTCTTGCTCTCGGGCTCGTGAGCGCCGTCGGAGTCCGCGTCGGCCTCGACGCCCTCTCCCGCTTCCTCGTCGGGCAGCGTCACCTTCTTCAGGAGATCTGCCACGGCAGGGCTCTCTTCGACCACACTCCTGTCCTTGTTCTTGGCCATGTCGTAGACGTGGCGCATCATGATGCGCCAGTTACCCGACGCCTCCGTCGCTCGCTTGTAGAGGTGCCGTTCGCTCAAATCGGGAAACACACCATGATCTTCATGTAGCTTCATGAACATGGTCCTGAGATCTGGCTGGGACGGGAAGCCCGTCGGGGCGACGCCGAGGAGCGCCGAGAGCACGGAGGCGTGCGCGTCGAGAGAGTGAAGGTCTGCTGGCCCCCCTCGGCCCTGGGGGTAGTCGCTGCCGTCCCACACGAATCCCAATGACCTCTGTGTCCGTTGAGCCAGATGTTCCAGCTTCTTCGCCAAACCATTCGGGTCGAAGTGCACAGTCGAGGGGCGCTTGGCGCGCGCACAACGCTTGCCCATTGGGGCAGAAGCCAAAAGCGGCTTGCGCCACCTTGAGCCCAAATGGCTACGGAATGGAAATGGGTGGGACAAATGATCATATCAGGTGGCAATTGGCCGCTATGATACCTACGATCAAACAGCGTGAGCAGATTGGCGATGTTTGGTAAACCAAAAATCTCATAGGTCCTAGGGGAAGTTCTGGCCCGTGGCCCGTGCCTCTCGCTTGCGGCATTCCCAGGGGCCGCTTCTGTTGCCCGTGGTCCGTGGGCCCCTGCGCATAAGACAGCTCGCCCCCGCCCCACCCCGCCCGCCCAACCTGGCAGAACGTAATCGCACGTTTGGCATAATACTCGCCGACCCCATAAGGGGTTCCTCGGCGCGTGAGTCGGGCGATGTCTAGCGCACCCCAAAAACAAAGCTAAATTAACTTATTGTGTTATTTTGGGAAGGGGCCCAAACATAATTTAACGCAACTAAAGATAATTGAATCATAATTAGCAAATATTGCACAATTACGTTTCTGATGTTTTTGACCTATTGGGAGTCGAGGAATCGGCCAGTCGGGGAGTCGGCCAGTCGGGGAGTCGGGGAGTCGGGGAGTTGGAAAGTCGGCCAGTCGAGGAGTCGGCCAGTCGGGGAGTCGGGGGGTCGGGGAGTCGGCCAGTCGGGGGGTCGGGGAGTCGGGGAGTCGGCCAGTCGGGGAGTCGGGGAGTCGGCCTGTCGGGGTCGGCCAGTCGGGGAGTCGGGGATTCGGGATGTCGGGGAGTCGGGGAGTCGGGGAGTCGGGCAGTCGGCCAGTCGGAGAGTCGGAGAGTCGGAGAGCCGGGGAGTCGGCCAGTCGGGGAGTCGGGGAGTCGGGGAGTCGGAGAGTCGGCCAGTCGGGGAGTCGTGGAGTCGGGGAGTCGGCCAGTCGTGGAGTCGTGGAGTCGGCCAATCGGGGAGCCGGGGAGTCGGCCAGTCGGGGAGTCGGGGAGTCGGGGAGACGGCCAGTCGGCCAGTCGGGGAGTCAGTAGTCGGGGAGTCGGGGAGTCGGCCAGTCGGGGAGTCGTCGGGGAGTCGAGAAGTCGGCCAGTCGAAGAATCGGCGAGTCGGCCAGAGTCGGGGAGTCGGCCAGTCGGGTAGTCGTTGAGTCGGGGAGTCGGCCAGTCGGGGGGTCGGGGAGTCGGGGAGTCGGAGAGTCGGCCAGTCGGGGAGTCGGGGAGTCGGCCAGTCGGGGAGTCGGGGAGTCGGAGAGTCGGGGAGTCGGGGAGTCGGCCGGTCGAGGAGTCGGAGAGTCGGCCCGTCGAGGAGTCGGGGAGTCGGCCAGTCGGAGATTCGGGATGTCGGCCAGTCGGGGAGTCGGGGAGTCGGCCAGTCGGGGAGTCGGCCAGTCGGGGAGTCGGGGCGTCGGGGAGTCGGCCAGTCGGGGAGTCGGAGAGTCGGGGAGTCGGGGAGTCGGAGTCGGGTCGGAGTCGGCCAGTCGGGGAGTCGGGGAGTCGGCCAGTCGAGAGTCGGGGAGTCCAGTCGGTCGGGGAGTCGGGGAGTCGGCCAGTCGGGGAGTCGGCCAGTCGGGGAGTCGGGGGATCGGCCAATCGGGGAGTCGGGGAGTCGGCCAGTCGGGGAGTCGGCCAGTCGGGGAGTCGGCCAATCGGGGAGTCCGGGAGTCGGGCAGTCGGCCAGTCGCGAGTCGGGGAGTCGGCGAATCGGGAAGTCGGGGAAACAGCCAATCGGGGAGTCGGGGAGTCGGGGAGACGGCCAGTCGGCCAGTCGGGGAGACAGTAGTCGGGGAGTCGGCCAGTCGGGGAGTCGGCCAGTCGAGGAGTCGGGGAGTTGGCCAGTCGGGGAGTCGGCCAGTCGGGGAGTCGGCCAGTCGGGGAGTCAGGGAGTCGGCCAGTCGGGGAGTCGGCCAGTCGGGGAATCGGAGAGTCGGGGAGTCGGGGAGTCGGAGAGCCGGAGTCGGGGAGTCGGCCAGTCGGGGAGTCGGGGAGTCGGGAAGTCCGGGAGTCGGGGAGTCAAGGAGTCGGAGATTCGGGGGATCAGGCAGTCGGGGAGTCGGGGAGTCGGAGAGTCGGCCAGTCGGGGATCTGGGGAGTCGGGGAGCTCGGGAGTCCGGCAGTCGGCCAGATCGCCAGAGACACCATGAGAGGGAGGGAAAGAGAGAAAGCCCAGCAAAAACAAGAAGACCAGATGAGCCCCCGGTAGCACCTCCCAGGGGCTTTCTATCCGCAACAATCTCCAGCCTCAGTTCGGAGATCGTGGCTTGTTGGGGTCTCCTGTAGCCTCTGGGAGCTGCTTGGCGGGATTCTGCAAGCCCTTCGAGCCTGAGACCCCGAGAGAGAGAAGGCTCCAAGGAGACATCAGGACGACCACCGGAGGCCCCGGCAGAGCCCCTCGGGGGGCCCCGATCCGCCACGATCTCCAGCCTCAGCTGAAAGATCGTGGCCTCTTGGAGCTCCCATGGAGCTCATGGGAACTCCTTGGCAAGATTCGGACAGCTTTGTGGAGCTTCCCTAGAGGTTCCGAGAAAGAGACAGACAGAGAGGGAGAGGAAGAAAAAAAGAGGAATAGATAGAGAAAGAGAGAGCTCCCGAGAAAGCTCGCAAGGAAACCGAAGACAAAAACCCGACAACACTTCCTAGAGGTTTC